TATGAAGTTGACTGTGCACCCCTGCGAGTCCCTTAGTTAGGTGCAGATGTAACTGTATTTGTAAAAATATGTACAGAAATGTTGGCCATTTTTGTGCATTCAAGTAAAAATAGACAGATATTTGCAATGGGGAATATTATGTTCAGAAAGGTTTAATTATAATTTAGCAGAATATTAAAACATCTTCTAAAATATGTTAATCAGAAATGAACCCAACAGTATGACAACGCACATAAAAATTACCATTTTACCTGCTTGAGAAACTTTCCTGCTTGTATGGGTGTAATGTAAAGTGATTCATGATATTGTCCATGATTTACATTAGTAGAAGATGTCTAATGGATATGATAACATATCTGCACACTGCTGTTGCTGTGGAATTCCCAGTGAACAGTACGATAGAGACCATACACTGCCATGATTACTGTATTCCTGAAAGTTAAAACAACATCTTGAGACCATCATATTGAATCTGAGAATATGAAAGGTTTTTATGTCTTGATAGTTTAAAAAATTAGTTTGGGTTAACATATAAAGGTGCAAAGTGTGTTTTATAAGACAGTAATGACATTTATGGAAGCAACTTACTTTCACTGAGTTGTTTTTAGTTCTGTTACTTTTGGATCACTCCTCATACATACAGTCTGTTGACAGTATATGAATTATCTTCACATCTAAACAATTTAAATTTCAGCATCATGACTGTTGTCCTAATGTCTGAATATTTTAAGGAGAGGAACACTGAAATTAATGCAGACAAATTCAGTTACGTGATCAAATTGTATTGGTATTTACAACTCATAGAGTACAGTGGTAAATGCAACAACATATTTTTTTATATTACACATTATAAAGATTTGAAACTGTAAACAATACATTTATTTTGAATTCTAGGTAGGCATATTAAATTACTAAGCATTAATTGCAGTGAATTACCATAAAGGACAGTTTATCGACTGGTAGGCCATGGACCAGTACCAGCCCACAGCTTAATTTATGCTGGTCTGTAAGTAGTTAGTGTTGTGTATATCTTACTACAAAATGGAGTAAGTGCTATTTTACAACTAGCAACTTTTTTCGTTTTTCATCTCCTTTTAGGGACTAAGTAGTTTGTGTTGAACATTACTACTGTTTTTCCTCTCTCCCTTTTGCGGCATTTAATGGTGTGACTGGCTGAATGGTGAGGAAGAGGACACAGAGTTTTGGGGTAGGTCTCTGCACCCTCAGAAATGGGGAATCGAAGCCATGTTACAAACTCCAGATCTGTGAAAGACATGTCTGACAACTTAAAATTGTTGATAATCCCTCGTGCATAAATTTTAATTACAGATGTTAAATGTGCATGGTTAGGACATCTCTTTGATTTTAATACTATATATAGGCATTAATTATATATCACAAACATTTATATGAAATAGTAATAGATCTCTATACTATAATTTTCACTGTGCAATGTGAGACATGAAGGGGAGTGGTCCTCAGAAAACCTACTGCTGTTTTACTGTCCATTTGTCAGAAAAAGTTGAAAATCATAAGTACAAGACCAGAAACAGACCAAGAAAGTATGGTCAGAACACAATTCTGGCTTAACTTTGAGGGACCGAACGATTAATAGCAAAATGTGTGTGCGCGCGCACGCACACATACATGCATGCACTATATGGGGATTGGTCTTTAGCTGTGAGATTCTGTTTCAGAGGGTGATGCAAGTGGAGCATCCGATTCATTACCTGTGCTGTCATCAAGACGTAAG